TGAAATATGTCTGATTGTATCTAAGCCACAATCAATGTAGGCTCTTGTATGAAAAAGTGTAGAATGTAGGGAAAACAAAGAACAGCATAGTTGAATGTAAATAATGGGACTACCACATCTTGAAAGAGGGACTATGGGAAGTGGTGCGTTAAGGTCTGGGTGGGGAAGGCCTTTTTGTCTCCCCCTGCCCACTTACGCTCCCCCTCAACCTCCTGGGAGCCCCAACTAAGGCCTGGATTGTCACCATGTTTACAACTTCCTCCTTAAGACAACTCCCCCACACCACCAGGGCCCTCGGAATGCTCACTGCTCACACACTCCTCATGGGAACCCTCACTTTAAGAAAAAGCCACCTTTTTTCCTTTTCCAAAAGACCCCTGCAAGTATTTGCCTTAGCTGAGGCCCCGATCACTGCAATAAACACCTTGAAACAGCTCCCACCTGACAGTCCCCTCCATGACCAAGTGTTTTGTGAGTAAAACAAATGAACTGCTAAACAGATGGTCCTTCTCCAGGTGTTCATCAGCACATGTCAACATTATGCTCACCCTTCTATTGTCCATTTCCTTTAATTCATTTCATTCAATCCTGGGTTTTAGAAGGGCAAGAAGAAAGTACATCAGGGATAAAAATGGAGCCCTTAGGACATTTTTGGGATATCTAACTATAGCTAAGTTCCGGGTCTACTGTAATCCATGGATGGATGATAGATTTCACCTTGAGAGCCATTCTTTAAGCACTGCATGGCAAGGCATGTGAAACCAGAACTCAGCTGAGAACGTCCATGTAAAATCCTTCATAAAAAGGTTTACAAATCTATTTTTTGTAAAAAAAAAAAAAAAAAAGGAAATATAGGAAAGATAAGTAAGAAACTAATGTGTCTGGCTATTTAGAAGGGGTGAGTAAAGCTGAGTGGGGGGAATATGTATATACTCCTCACTAAAGGCAGATATTGAACTGTAGTTAATAGATTTTTTGCAGTGTTTATAGTCTAGCAATTCTAAAACTATTTCTTATAATTTAGCATATAGGTAGATACTATATCTAAGATACTGGGAACCATGTTTTCCAACTCTCTTGAAAAGAGAGTTATAAATATAGAAAGGGGGACAATAATGAACCTTGTCATATGGGTATAAGATAGGAATAAGATAAATGATAGGCAGGTAGATAGATAAATAATGGTTGGGGGGGGCAGTGCATGTACCCTCAGCTAAATGGACCTAGAAGCAATGACAACTCAAAAGCAATAAGCACATCAGTACCCATATCTTGGTTTCTAAATATCATTTTCTATGAAAAGAAACAGGACTCCTTGAGGAAAAGGTTAATTTCAGGGCATAGCAGAAAAAGTACAAGAAGAGTGTGGAATGTAAGATTTGTGCCAGAAAGTAGAACAAACTTAAAAAATGATGGGGATATATGAAAAGGGCACAGTGAAGAGCTTAAAAAAGCTCCCACTGAGTAAATCTGGAATTATTTGAGCATCAAAATAAATGATAATAGTGATGAATTACAATCCATCACATAAAATAAAAACCCATGAGTCTATGCTTATATAAATAAACAAATAAATGTGGGAGGAGGGAAACATCTCCCTTATAATAGAGTGTCAACTAATAAATGTAAAATAAACAATGGAGTTAGAAAAATTATCATTTGAGAAACACAGTAGTAACTGAATCAGGCAAGAATCATCAGTGGGTTTTAAAACAAGTGGATAAAATTTTAATGAGAAAAACAATATTTACATGTCTCAAAATACCTTCTTACAAATTACTTTTTTATTACAAGGGGAAGACTTCATATTAACCAGGAGTTCACAAGTCAAAAATGTAAGTCCCAGTGGTCATACAGGAATAGAAGACAAGACATTGGATGCAGTCGTTGTGGAAAGTTGGAATTCATGCTTCCCATGGAAATGAGGCAGCCTCAAAGGGCTATTCTCTTAGTGAAATGACCTTAGGAAAATATCTCCTTTCCAGGAAGAGAGATGACAAAGAAAGTGTTTGTATTGGCCTAAGCTCCATATGGGAGAAAACTGTCTCTACTATGAAATTGTAAGCACAGAAAAACTCTGAGTGTCCTAAGACAAAAAATTAATGTAAAATGATTCCAATTTGGTAGCAACCAAAGGGCACCTCTTGATTTAAAGAATTTCCACAAATGAGCTCACAAACCAAAGTGACACATCAAACAACAAAAACAAGCACCATAAATGAAAACCAGTATAAAAGGAAAAGAGAATTTAATTGCAAAATTCTTTAGATAACATAATTATTGAGTTCTGAGTATAAACATGATTAAAATATCGAAATAATTTTTTTAAAAACATTAAAATAGAACAAAACACATAAAAATTCCTGGCAAATTTTTAAAAGAATCAAATATAATGCAAATAAAATATTTACCCATTGAAAAGGACAAGATAAAAAGCAAATTATAAAGAGGAAAAGAGATAGTGTACTAATAGAAAGATAAAGGAAATTACGCAAAATGTCATTACGAAAATCAGAGAGATAGAAGATATGAAAACAAGAGACATAGATCATTGAAAGAAACTACCTATAATAAATCTAATTTGAATACAGGGAAAGAGAGGGGAGAGAAAGAAACTGATAATTGAGAAAAAGAATATTTAAAGAGTTAACAGTTGAGAATTTTCCAGATTTGTTGAAAGATAAATCTTGATTCAGGGAGCACACAAGATGTCTATAACTAGACTCATTGTAGTGAAATGGCAGAACACTAAAGACAAAGGACACATGGCCTGAAAAGCATCCAGAAAGAAAAGACAGATTGTCTGAAAAGAAGTAACAATAGACTGACAACAGACTGATCAAAAGCAGGAGATGGGAGATAGTGAAATATCTTCTAAATGATGAGAGACAACTCCCTTAACCTAGTACTCAGCTACTTCTCCAACAATGAGGGTGGGCAAATATATTTTGTATGATTAAAATTGAGTTCACCACCATGGATCTTCTCTAAAGGAAATTGAACACATAGATTGCTATTATAAGGTCACAAATATAAGATGAAATGAGGAGCGAAAAAATTTATAAACATGAGAAAATCTGGACAATGACTGTTAATATAATAGCTATAAATAGAATACCTTGAAGAGACAAAAGTAAATTAACAGTATTGTATATTTTATGAATATGTAAAATACAGAAACTGAATAATTCAACTATTATAAAATTTTGCAGTGATTGAGAAATGGTACAGATATTGATTAGTTATAGACTTTGGTTTTGTATACATGTTAAAATTTTAATTATAATCATTAAAAAATTACAAAAAGATTGAAAATTTTCTAGTTCAGTGGAGGGGGAAATGTATTTTTTTAATTTGATCAATTCTAAATAAATAAGGCACACAGTGGGGGAAAGCATAGGGAAAATGTGAATTATTGGAAAGCGCAAAATAAATGGCAAATCCGAACATCAGTAATGTCAAAAATTAGAGTAAACTAAAGTCGCCAATTAAAATACAGAGATTGTTAGAGGTAATTTTAATTTTCATTTTATTTTTATTCCTTTTCATCGACTTCATTGAGGTAACACTAGTTAACAAAATTATACAGGTTTCAGGTACACAATTTCATACCACATTATTTGTGCATTATGTTGTGTGTTCACCACCCCAAGTCAAGTCTCCATCCATCACCATTTATCTCCCCATACCCTCCTCCACCTCCCTAAAAGATAATTTTTAAAATCCACCTTTTATAAAGAAGAAACAGAGACAAAGAGATTAGGGTAACCAATATAAATCACCCAGGCAGGCAAAGCAATGCTCATGCAGTTTATGACTAGGCTATGCTACCGCCTGTGTACAATAACATGGAAAGTCATTAAAGTGGAAGAGCGATACACAGACCAAGAAAAGCGATATGGAAGACTGTACATGTTTGTATATTCATAGAAAAGTGAAAATTCATGCAATAAGGTGAAAAGAAACAAGGGCAAATTGTTGGGTGACTATATTTTTTAGCTATTAGTAGGTAACATTTTTAGACGACCATCTCTTTGTCCTTCTATTCGGTAAATATTAACTGAGTATTTGTTATGTATCAGAAACTGCTAGATACTGAGGAGTCAATGAGGAGCAAAAACAGACACGATCCTTGATCTCTTGGAACTTGCAGTCTAACAAGGAAGGCAACCATTCAAATTATAAGTAAACATAAAATGACAACTATGACAAATGCTGTGAAGGAAAGTTAGTTTTTGCATGAGAGCCTGTAACAGAGGAGAAAGTTAGGAAAGGTTTAGGATAAAATAACGATTGAACTGAGCTTTGAAAGGAAAAAAAAGATATTTAAGTAGAGTGGTGATGTGGAATACTGTTCGCTCCATGCAGAGGGTACAGCAGGTGCTGTAGTTTGTATGGGAGAGACCATGATCTTTAAAGAATTTGAGCGGCCAGTGGGTAGAAAGCACTGAGTTTCAGATGAGGAAGGAGAGAAAGGTAGTTTTGTCATGAGGCTTTGAGAGAGGAGCCTTAGAGGTCTTGCTAAGGATTCTGGTCTCTATTCTAAGAGCAGTAGGAAGCTCTTGAAGGGGTTTTAGGTGTGTGTAGGGAGAGCACAGGGTCAGACTTATTTTGAAAAGATTGCTCTAATTTCTGGGTAGAGGACCCATTGAGATTTTGCTAGAAAGAAAAATACTGTATGCCGAGAAGGAAACGGAACCTTAGCTGAGTATTGGCAGTAGACATGGAAAGAAATGAACGGGTTCTGTCAGTGTTTCAACAGCAAATAAATTCACTAGAACCTGGTGATGTACTGAATACAGGAGAGTAAGGGAGAGGGAAGTGTTGACAGTTATTATGTGTGAGGAAGGAAGAAGGAGCGACATGGACCTGAGGAAGATTTTCACATTAGATCCTATCTTCTGATGGGACCAACAGCCACATATGTGTACATTGCCAGTGTTATTAAAACAACTCAGCCCCCAAAATAAGCAAATCAAAAAAAAATTTTTTAAACTGACCTTCTGGTACAGATGGTTTACTACCATTTACTTTGTCCACCTTGACTCTGGGTTTTGGATCCTTTCTTTTTTCCAAATCTTTAACTGGAAGAAAAGTAGAAATACAGCAACATGTTATGTTAAAGTCTAAAAGAAAATATGCAATGAGTTTTACTAAAACCCTTGCAAGAATTGAGAGTACTACTAAGTAGAAATTAGCTGCATGGTAGAATCTCATTCCCAAAGATTAGAACTATTTTTTGTTTTGCAGTCTTGTCATGAGAAGGTGTAGAAAACACTTGAGAATTTACTTTGATTGAGAACTCATTATGGGAAGATGTAGCAAATAAACTTAATCCTTCAAAGCCACTATAAAATGAGTATGATTATCATACACGAGGGAATGAAGGACCAAGAGTCTGAGCAACTAAAAAATATCTCATAAAACCAGAAAGTGTTGGCACAGGATTTAAGCCATATCTTCAGGTCTCTGGACAATGAGCTGACCTCTGCTCTAGAAAGATCTTAGCCGTGACTATCCTCATTTGGAGTTGGTCTATCTGCAATAGAAAGTGAAAAACCCCATAATATTTTCCTTTCAAACTTAAAAACAAAGTTTCCCTAGTAATAAACAATAGTATTTCTTTATCATTTGTATTATGAAATATTCTGGGACCTAGAATGCCCGTCAGCCCTTTAACCCATTCATGCCAATGGACTCCATTAGCGTTACTCTCTATTGCTTAAACGCTGCTGGTACTTTAAGTTGTTTCAGTCAGTTGACCACTGCCAACTGGCAATGGTTCCTGAACTAATAAAATGCCCTGTGAAAAAGCAAAAGTGATCCTATGGCAAGTTATTCCATTATATTGCTGCATTCACTTCAGAATGGAAATCAAATTTATGGGAGAACAACCTATGCATGGAAGCAGTGATCTCCTCTGAAACATCCTTCCTGCTGTCTCTAAAATATTGTTCCATTAATCCTGTCTTTTTCATCTTGTCTTCTTTCTAGTGGCTTCCACCCCTTTGCTAAAAGGATTGGAGGTTTGTCATCTGCCAAGGTTGTGTCACTGTAGTTCTATTATTCCTTTCCTTAAAAACCTTCCATGTCTTCTGAAGAAAGAAACTGAAGAAGATGGAAATAAGAAGCAGCACATAGCATGTTCATGGATAGGAAGAATTAACATCATTAAAATGTGCATACTACCAAGCAATCTATAGATTCAAAGCAATTCCTATCAAATATCAATGGTATATTTCACAGAAGTAGAACAAATATTCCAAAAATTTATATAAACCACAAAAGGCCTGAACAGACACAGCAATCTGAGAAAGAAGAACAAAGCTGGGGTAATCATGCTACCTGATTTTCATGCTACCTGATATCAAGCTATACTACAAGGCCATAGTAATCAAAACAGCATGGTACTGACGTAAAAACAGACATATGGATCAATGGAACAGAATAGAAAGCCCAGAAATAAACCCACGCCTTTATGGTCAATTAATATTTGACAAAGGAAGCAAGAACATACAACGAGGTAAAGATAGTCCATTCAATAAATGCTGTTGGGAAAACTGGACAGATATGTGCAAAAAATTGAAACAAGACCACCTTCTTAAACCATATACAAGAATAAACTCAAAAGGATTAAAGACCTAAACTTTAGACTCAACCCATAAAAATCCTAGAAGAAAACATAGGCAGTAAAATATTGGACATTTCACGTAGCACTATTTTTTCTGATGTATCTCCTCAAGCAAGGAAAATAAAAGAAAAAATAAATAAATAGGACTACATCAAACTAAAAAGATTTTGCAAAGCAAAGAAAACACTCAGCAAAATGAAAAGACAGTGCACTGAATGGGAGAACATCTGATAAGGGGTTACTACTCAAAATGTGTAAAGAATTTATAAAACAACACCAAAACACAAGCGATCCAATTTAAAAAATGGGCAAAGGACCTGAATAAACACTTCTCCAAAGAGGACATACAGATGGCCAATAGATACATGAAAAGATTCTCAACATCACTAAGCATCAGAGAAACACAAATCAAAATCACCATTAGCTATCACCTCACCCCTGTCAGAATGGCTATCCTCAATAACTCGACAAACAACAAGTGCTGGCAAGGATGTGGAGAAAAGGAAACCCTAGTGCACTGCTGGCGGGAATGCAGACTGGTGCAGCTGTTGTGGAAATCAATAAGGAATTACTTCAAAAAATTAAAAATGGAACTGCCTTATTACCCAGGGATTCCACTTCTGGGACTATATCTGAAGAAAGCTGAAATATGATGCAAAAAATATATGCATCCCTGTGTTCAGTGCAGCAATATTTACAATAGCCAAGATTTGGAAGCAGCCCAAGTGCCCATCAGTAAATGAGTGGATAAAAAAAGCTGTGGTCCATTGACACAATAGAATGCTACTCAGCCATAAAAAGGAAGGAAATCTTACCCTTTGCAACAACATAGATAGACTTGGAGAGTACTATGCTAAGTGAAATGAGACAGTCAGAGAAAAACAAACACTGTATGATTTCACTTATATATGGAATCTAATGAACAAAATAAATTGACAAAACAGAAGCAGATTCATAGATACAGAGAACAGACAGGTGTCAGAGAGGAGGGGGTTGGGGACTGGCTGGAAAAAAGTGAAGAGATTAAGGAAAAAAAAGAAAACCTCATAGACACAGATGACGCTATGGTGATTAGCAGAGAGAAAGGTTTGTGTGTGTTCTTTATCCATTCATCTACCAATGGACACTTAGGTTGCTTCCATTTCTTGGCTATTATAAATAACACTAAAATGAAGACAGGGGTACATAATGTTTTAGAATTAGTGTTTTTGTTTTCTTCCAATAGGTACCCAGATATGGAACTGGTGGGTCCGCTGGAACACCTCCTCTCTCATTCTCTTTTCCTCAGGTTCTACAAAGGCTTTGCCATGGCTTCCCTTGTATTCCTCTGGCCCTTCCTTAACATTCTAATTCTTTGGATCCTTTTTCTGTTTCCATTCCTAAAACATGATCATATACAAAACTTGCCCTGCATCTCCGTATGCCCCACCTATAATTTTACAGTCTCACAATTCTAATTCTCACTCTCCTGAGGATAATTTCCAAATCTATATCTTCAATCCCACCCTTGCAAAGGCCATGGCCTCAAATTGCTTATGTCCTGTGTAGGAAAAAAAAAAAAAAGTCTGCAACTTTATTATGAGGAAAATTGTGCTAAGCAGTGCTAAAATTAGAAATAGATTTGAGAAAGAACAATTCCAGACACTTGGGAAACTTCACTGGGAAGATGACATTTGAGCCAGACTTTGAAAGATGAGCCAGATTTTGCAGACAGAGATAAGCGAAATGTCATTCCACAGAGGAAAATGGTGGCTGAAAAGAAAGTTTACCAAAATAGGGTCATCGACCAGTCAACAAATGAGCAAGAAAAACAATAATCACCTTGAACTGGGCCTCTAGGTCACACATAAGATATAATACATATGTCACAAAAAAACTGCTATTTCCCTTACACAAGGGGAAATCAGTAGAAAACACACTGTCACAAGCAAAGTGGCTGAAATGAGGTAACTCACACCAACATAGATACATGCCATCGCCCCCATCTGCAGATGAAGACACCAAAGCTACACACAGTTGAGTTGCTTGGCCAAATACATACATCGGATTTAGAATCATAGTATCCAGCAGACCAGGCACATGCCTTTCTGTCTTCAAAATCCAAAGACTGTTTCTCTGGCTTCCCTGTATCAGAAGATGGGCTTGGGAAAAACTCCATTCCCTACACAATTGCAAGCCTATATTCACAGTACTTGCCTAGATCATCATTTTCCTGGATCCAACCAGGGAGGTTTTCCAGGGAGGGGAGATCAGGCTGGAGCGCCATCTCACAGGGAGCAAAAATGTTAACCAAAATGCAAAATGGAAAAGGAAGCCATCCAAAGTTATTTTAATAATTCAGTCTTACAAACTGTTATTTGAGAAGAACGAATCCCTCTACCCTGCCAATAAAAATAACATAGCCGAAAAATATAAGCTTACATATAACTTATCCAACTAACCAGTTACACTGTTTCACTAAGATTATTTAGGCAGAGCTAAGCAAGCTGAAAACAAAGACATGTCCTTTTAAGTGTTGAGAGTAAATAGCTATCGGGGAACCTTTGAAAGGTGACCTGTTTCTTAGGCTGCCTGGTCAGGGGAATATGTGAAATCAGCAATCACAATACCTTCAGACTATTGTAAAATGATCATTTCTCTTTGTCCTTTTTACTGCTTCTCACAAACTTTAAGAAAAGTTATTTTGCTTATTCATGTAGGGATGTCAGAGGCCAGAAACTGAAGCCCAGTGCCAATAAAATGAGACAGAAGGCTGTTGTATATTGAAAATAACATTAAAAACCTTTCCCTGGGCTTCCGGACAATGCAAAGCTTAAAGGAAGGTAACATTCAAAACATTTGTGTGTTGGGCTGGCAGGCAGATTTACCAAACATCTTTTGTTCAGAGTTTCAAGAGGTAGCAAGTTAACAAAGTTGTGGGGATTTTTTAATTTAAAAAAACACAAAATATGTCTCATAAAACATTTCTTAGAACAGGAAGGAAAAAGAAGAGGAAGAGATAGAAAATCCAGCTAAAACATTGCTGCAAAAGTACCCATGGACAAAGCCAAAGGGGGGAAGGATTGAAGGTGGGAGGTGGGGGTGGGTGGGGCGGGGATGGAGGGGGTGGGAAAATGGAGACAACTGTACTTGAACAACAATAAAAAATGCAAAACAAAAATAAAAAAAAGAAAAAAGAACATTGCTGCACATACAGTTCTAGAACCCACAGGCTCCCAGGTTTGTGGCTTTAGTCCTGGTGGCAAGATTTAAAAACTTCTTGTTCCATGAAATGATGTCTAGGATTGACTTCAAACTAACAGGAGGAGACTGAATGAAATCAGACTGACCATGAATGGCTAATAGTTGAAGGGAGTGATGGACACCTAGGGGCTCATTGCACTATTCCGTTGATTTTTTTATTATGCTTAAAATTGTCCTTAATAATAAGTTGGGTTTTTTTGAAGAGTCTATTTTAATAACAAACTAACACAGAAAGTTAACCAGGACAGGCCTCTTCCACTTGCATTCATGACACAAAAAGGTGTGCCCTCCACTTCTGAAAGGCCATTTGCAAGGAGAAGTTGAAGTTGTCTCTAGTCACTAGTATACAAGGTCCACAGGGGCAGGGATTTGTCCCAGTACCTAGAACAGGGCCTGGCACTTAGTAGGCCAGCAATAGGAGGTCTGTCTGGAAAAAGGCCAGCCATTGTTAATATAATGAGGAAGATTTGTGCAACATTGATGTAACCTGGCAGACAAAGAGTGGACTAGAATGCACATATATAAACAATGATGACTTCACTGTACTACTCAGTGGGGGCAGTAGACGCTGATGAATGAGCCTAGTGTACTATGTGGCCATCACATTCAAAATGACTGAGCAAGTAGAGGAACAAATCTGCTCAAATTTTGCATTAAGCTTAAGCATTCCTCCATGTTTAAGCTTATTCAAACTATCCAGATGATTCAGAAGGCCACAGCTGTGGGCAACTAGTGACTGGTAGTTCCATCACAACAACACACCCGTTCATGCCTCACATCTTGTGCAGAGATTTTTGACTCAGCCCCGCTACAGCCCAGATTTGGTGCTCTGTGACTTCTGACTTTTCCCAACACTAAAATCACTTTGAAAGAGAAGAGATTTCAGACCATTGATGAGTTTCCGTAAAATACTATGGGGCAGCTGATGGTGACTGAGAGAACTGTGTGAGGTCGTGAGGTGCCTACTTTGAGGGGGCTGTGGCATCATTGTTCTGTGTACAATTTTTCTTGTATCTTCTTCAATAAATGTCTCTATTTTTCATATTACATGACTGGATATCTTCTGGATAGGCCTCATATATGTTTTTTAAATTTAAAAAAAATGAATGAATGCATGAATGAATGAATGAATGAACGAATATCTCCTGAAAGGTAGAAGAACGAGAGACTGTGAGAACAAGTTTTAAATTCAATGTAAGAAAAAGATTTCTAATGAAACAATGCAGACACACATTGGGATGCCTCAGAGCTTCCTGCCCTGCTTAGACTGTCTTCGCATGCCTGCTCTTTCCCTGTTTGCCCAACTTACTATTCAAATAGGAAAGCATTCTCTATCCGCTCTCTTCCAAGCCCATTACTGGGACTCCCTTCACAGAATCCTAATGTGTCTCTATCTTTAATCCTTACCATGTTGAATTTGTTCACAAATCTGTTTGTCACGGGATGTAGCCAACAAGAAATGTCAACTGATTAGTTATTGGAAAGAGTTAAATTCCTTGTTGTATAGGTTGGTTTTGTCCAGGCTTGGTTGGCACTTAATAGGGATTCTATAGAGGAGTTATAGGTATCATCCATTCAGTCATTAAGTATTTACTGAGCACTTATTATGTGTCTGGTAGATAAGATGTCTGGGTAAGGTTCAGCAGACAGTGTTGTGGATAGGATTTGAAAACTAAACTTAAAGGACAGTGGAATGGGTGAGGCAAAAAGCAGAAGGAGAGTATTGGTGAAAGAAGGAACTCATGGAAGATTGTACTAAATGTCTTTTAAGATCTCTTCATATCTAAACAATTTAGAACTTTAACCTGTTACAGGGTTTACCACAGACTCAAACTCAGAGCTGGGACAGGTCCCACAGTGGCACTGTAAGACCTGTATATACGTACTTCTGAATTGACCTTGGGCTGGCTTGCTTTCTTTGTCTTTATTGTATGCAATAATTTGAACTGTGTAATTCTGGTCTGGCATAAGACCTTGAATAATTGCTTTAGTCGCAGTGTTCTGAAGATTCAATTGATTGGTTTTTCCACCTATAATAAAACAGAAAGATAAATCAATTCTAAAAAGTAGGTTAATTGTGTACATTAAGAGATTTTACTAACCAGCAATCAAGATTTTAAAAGAACACAATTAAAAATATATATCATAGTATCTATATACATAGCACTTAATTTTAATATACTTTTCATTTTTAGCTGTTTTCTTTGCATTATACAACTTAAACACAGTTGTCTAAATTAGATAAAAACATATTCACAAAAATCTTTTATCATAATACTCTATTGCTTTTTTACACTAGGGAAAACCATAGTACAAGTTTGGAAGGCAGGAAGCTGTCAACGTCAGATATACTCTTCAAGAAAAGAATTTCACTTAAAAGTGAAGCGAAAGATTTGGGCAGCCTAAATGCAATTATCTGCACTGGGATTTTTCCTATGGCCTTTCTAAAGTGAAACAAAGCATCCTTGAAGCATTAGCAACTTAATTATCTTAAATCTGAACATCACTGGCTCAGGATGTTGAAGGAACCACTCAGTACCTGGCTACTTAAAAGTTAGCTTGGTTCATGAAAAGATTTCAAACCCCCATTATCTCTCCATCAAATTAGACTGACACCTAAGGCTTTCCTAAAAACGTTATTGATTAAACATTCAGTCTTTTATTCAAAGTTTCAAATATACCTTCCTTCTCCAATTTCTGGCCATGTTTACTGTGTCTGAGAAAAGGGATATCAATTTAAAGCAAAAGACTGAAAAGCGCTGGCTTAACAAAACATAACACAGATTACAATATATTTTAATATTTGAATGAAACATAATGACATTAAGTTTGAAATTTGGTGCTACTATCATCCACGCCTCCTGCTACAGGAAAGCAGGGCTGGGCCTTTCTATTGCCAAAACCTACTTCCTTACGTGCATTTGTGTCCAAGATGTTATAAATCTGGTTTCATGAGCTTCTATTGATGAAAACTCATCTATGACAAAAAAAATTTTTCCTAGAAAACTGTGCATTAGAATCACTCTCTGAGAGAGTATTATTTTAAGTGGTGGTATTATTATTATTATTATTATTTATTTTTAGAAATTTTATTTTATTTTATTTTTAGACAAAGGGAAAGGGAGGGGAAAAGAGAGGGAAAGAAACATCAATGTATGGTTGCCTCTCATGCACCCCCTACTGGAGACCAGGCCTGCAACCCAGGCATGTGCCCTGACTGGGAATCGAACCGGCGTCCCTGCGGTTCACAGGCCAACACTCAATCCACTGAGCCACACCAGCCAGGCCTAGAGTGTATTATTTTGAAGGTGTTAAAATCCTTCAATAAAAAAGCTTTAAACCCTGTTTAAAAGTACTTCTCAAATTTATTTGACCGTTAAACTACTTAGTTGCCTAACAATTAGCATCCTGCAGAATACCACAGAAGATGGTTTAGTGAAAATTGGGATAAACAATAATTGGAACGTGTCTTGTAGTGCTAAAACATCAACAAACATTTTATGACTAAATGTATTTACTGCTTTTTTAAATTTATTTAGTTTATGTTCGATTAAACAGATATCAGAAGGTCAAGATCATCTTATTTGATTGGGGCTCTGTAGGGAAGACATCAGGTCACTGGAGAAGATAAACCCAGCATTCATGAAGAAACAATTTGCTTTCACCCTCAGTTTTTATTTTGTCCCTGGAGGTTTGTGAGCCAGAGTCACAGACCTACTTATCAGGTGCACTGTGGGAGAGGGGACTGAAGGGTCAGGCTGAGGTTGGGTTCGGAGACCCACCCAATCGCTTCTAAGATTCTCTGATTCCTCAAGGGCACGTGCTTGGGGTACGTCCTAGTTTGGTATTATCAGCAATCAAGCAGAAAAGTAAAAAACACTGATGACTTGGAGGAAAAATTTACCTTTAAAGGCTGGACATAAGAGATTCTCAGAGGTACCACATGGTAGCAATTTATATTTTGACCTTTAGAGTCATAATAACGTTCAAGAATCTCTTATATTTAAATTTCCCGGAATGGCTTATTTTTAGAAAACAAACTGTATTTTAATAGAGTTGTTTCAAAACCGGGACATATTCCAAAATGAAAACTCTGAACCAGAGTTTGAGAATAAAATATTGCTTTCTACAAGTGAGTCACTTCCAGAGACCAACATAGGGAAAGTTGGCATCTGGTAGCACTAAAGCAGATGTCGTTCTAAGCAGCCTATGGATAATACCTGTTCATAAAAGAAGGTTCCTTTTTAGTGACAGAGCAAGGAGACAGGTGTTCTATCTGCTTGTTTTGTTTGAGGTTTTTAAATCTGTTCTCAGGGAAGAGGCCCACACTTAGGAACAACAGAGCATCTGTCTGCCTAATTAAATGAGCTGGGAAAAGGTCTCCAACTGAAAGGAATCTGCCTCCATATAAACATCTGTATCACCAATAAAGAGAAAAAATTATTGTATGTATATAAGTATATATATTATATAAATATGCTACCATTAAGTATTTACTATGTACTATGTAAAAATGGGTCCTAGAGGAAGAAATGAGACCTGACCAATATAGTAAAGAGCACCTTTTTTTTACATAGCTACTTTATCTTCATGATCAATGTATTTGTTTAACTTTGCTTTTCCTGCTTTAATTTATCACTTATTTTTACAATGTCTATTTAGCTTATATAATTTTAATGTATAATTGCTGAATAATAGTCTATCAAGTTAATTAATCATAATGTACTCAGCCAGTCATAGCTATTGGCCATTCAGACGTGTATTTTTTAAGTGTCATTAAAACAAAAGCATTCACCCTATGTTGAGACAGAAGTAAGAATTTTTTTTTTAATCTTCACCTGAGAATACTTTGATCAATTTTACTTTTTCGGGAATTTATTGATTCCAGAGAGAGAGGAATGTTGAGAAAGAGAGAGAAAGAAACATTGATCAGTTGCCTCCTGTATGTATCTGACCAGGATCAAACGCACAACCAAGGCCTGTGCTCTGACCAGGAACTGAACCCATGATTTTTTGGTTTTATGGGGCAATGCTCCAATCAACTGAGCCACACTGGCCAGGGCCAGAAGTAAGAATTTTTGATAGCCTGGAAATTTCACCTGCAGAGTTATGATGAGTCCAATAGTCATTCTTTTGACTTAGGGAACATCATTTCCTTGATTAGAAGGCAAAATTTCAGCTCAAATACTAAATTAATTTTTTAAAAAACTTTCAGATGATTTTAAAGAGATACCGTATTTAGCACTACACATTTTTAGTTACCTATACATAAATGTTGCTATACTCAAGAGAATACAGTTGTTGGTTTTTACCTGAAGCTGGGGACACAAGAAGTTTGTATCCACCAAATTTCCCTCTGGGAGCCTTCCATGAAATCTGTATACTGTCATGAGATAATACATTATATCTTAACCGTGTGGGTGGAGCCACTGGAAAGAAAAAAACATGATTAAATGTTGAAACATTTAGCTACCATTTGTTAAATTGAAAGGTCAGCATAATGTAATCAAAATACACAAGACATCTTCAGACTCAAAACATGTTCTTTCAACAACCCCATTAATGAATTAATCAGTTTTTAAAATAACACAAGGCTGAAAACATTTGTTTCTTACTCAAGAAATAAGCATTTGTCAAATAGGTACTGACCTTATGACAAAGAACTATGATTTAGGGTTAGAATTTAATACTCTAATCTAGTTTGAAAATTGAAGCCAATCTTGCAAAATGCTTTCACTATGTTACAGGATGAATTTTCCTTCTTGGAACATGTGAGTTTTTATAATCAACTCTAGTGGGACTTGTTTTATGCCTTTAGGTTTTTCACTTTAGTAATCCAATATTTGTTATAATAGGATCATTCGAGGAGGCTATTTTGGACATATTGTAGTCATAAGATACTCGTTAAAAACCTTTGAGAAAAAGATTGTAAAGAACCAAACTAAAAAAGACCAAATACAAGATAATTATGTTGTATAAACTTTGATTTAGTCTTCCAAAGCATAGATGATGTATACCTTTCAGAGTGTTACACAGCACATGGTCATGAATCATCCTGGTATATTTAATCTGTTCCGATAGTTCACAGAATGGTTAGATCTACATTACTCTTTGTGTAAGCCATTCAAACTTCAAAACGTATTTTTGGAACTCTACATCAATGTAACATAATTTCAAAAGAAATTACATAATATCTAAATTGTGTGTCAAATAAAAGGTAATGCTTAACAGAAAAATGTATCACTTATTACCCATTTTTATGCCCAGCCTTTCTGTCTCACTTTAGGAAACAGAAGGTGGGGGGAAAAGCGAACATTTTTCTTAATTAGGTATGTAGTTTGGACATTGGTTTGATTCCCAGTTCTATCATTTATTAGATAAATAACCTAGAGCAAGTGACTGCTTCTTCCCAAGTCATATTTTTTTAAGGTGACAGCAATACTTTCTGCCCATGATCAATGACATTGAAGAGAATAATGGATTTAACACATTATAGTAAGTGGTTAATGAATGCTGGCGCCCCTTTCCCCTTACCTCATCTGATGGGTGATTGCAAATGTTCATTTAATCCTCACAAAAATACATTGTCGTCTCAATTTTATATATAAGGAAACCAAGGAGAAGCTAAAAGACTTGTCAAAGTTCACACCTTGATGAACAACAATCTCTGACCCCAAACAAAAAGCTCTGTTTCTTTGGGAGGAGATCCCTATTAAGAAGGCACCCTGCACTGAGCTGGACGAATGAGTAATTCACTCCCTGCACACCACCCACTTGTCCAACATCAGTGAGCACTGAAGGGCACAAGCTTACGCATTCTCTTCCTCACTGCCCTTTATGAACTCTCGGTGGAGAAAGCCAGCCATCCACAGCAGAGGCATTAGCTTCCCATTCTCAAGTTGACATGAATGGACGAGTTTACATTTCTCTGGATTATGGCAAAAGATGGACTCATCATATGAACAGTGACTTGGAAAGAGAAAAGGAAGGTAGCTAACCCAAACATTTGGGTGAACACAGAAACTATTACTACTTTGTTTACCGTATTTTGCTGTGTAAAATGCACATCCATGTTTTTGTGCGCATTATACATGGGATTATTATACCATTATTACACTCATGGTATATAATCATTATTCCCATGTATAACATGCCTCCTTACTTTTCCCTCAAAAATCTGGGCAAAAAACCTGCGCATTGTACACAGCGAAATACGGGAGTCTGGAACTTGGGGAGATCTATTTATAGATAGCTTCTTACTTATGGAAGAAAATTAAAAATAAGAATTTTTAAAAATTTAAACAATATATTCCAGTTTGTGAGCCAAATCCTGTCAGTGGGCCAACAGACATCACTGGCCAAGCTTATCACAAAGCTCTGCATGAATGAACTGGTGAAAGAAAGCTGGCGGCCCCGGGGCCGTCAAGCGGCAAAGCACAGGATGAATGGACGCTTCAGTCCGGGCAGTTCCAGGGGGGACAACCATCCTGTCAGCGCCCCAGGTGTGTAGACATCTCAAGGAGGCAAAGACGTGAACAGCACTCGGGATTCCTAGATGAAGGATTAGAAATCCTTCTAGCATTTTCCACCCAAGCTACTGTTCTTTCAATGTGACCTGAGATTCCAGCCTGCAGTTTATAGTCAACAGCGACCTGAACCTGCAGGAGAACGCACTGCGGATAACAATGACCACGCGCCGATACCACTGACCACGCGCCGATACCACGGACCATGCCCAGGCAACACGGACAGACGGTGCTGCAGGACCCAGAGCCGCCCTGGCTCCCGCTGAGCGTCTCCAGGGTACGGACTGTGAAGCGAAAGCTTCATCAACTCCCAGATCCAATCAACGGTCCACTCTTTCAACAATGGACAGATGATTCATATGACCACGGTCCCACTACAGCTTTCTTTTCTCAATGGCCCACACCGATTGCCTGTATATGAGCATACATGCTCTCACAATCACTAGGAGAAAAATCTTAGTTCGACACGAAGTTCACATTTCCTTTTTGCTTTTGCCTTTAGGGGAAAAAAACACTGAAAAGAAGAAATGCTGGTGAGGAAAGAAAGAGGCATGAGGTCACAATTAGCTCCTTTTTCCCTGTCTGGGAGGCACGGGGGGCTTGTGCCAAAGCCAGGGCAGCAAGGCTGACAGAAACACTGTAAATGCACTGGAGAAATAACTGTTCTTATCGCATGGAACAAACACGTGTGTAGTTAATACCCGGCTCATGATTTCTCTTTTTGCGAGCACAAAGCTTCTATACATATACTTAACTTCCAGTAATAATTATAAATGTTTGCATGAACTTGACTCAAAAGTTAATTTGTGGCTGTTAAAATCCTCAGCTTTTTTTAATAATTTATTTTTATTGTATTTATCCATTATCATTTATCTCCCTTATACACTCATCCAACTCCACTCACCCCATTTCCCCCTAAGCTTTTTGGAAAGACAAAAATCAAGTGTGAAGCTTGATGTTTGGCCCACACCAAGAATCAAGAGCAAGCTAACAAACTCATTCTTTGTATGGTGAAGCCGGGCTTCCTAGGTGGGATTGGGCCAACTATAACATTGGGAACACATGCACTTTGTCCTAAAGGGGCATTGAGAAGAGCAAGGACGATCCATTCGGTACTTTCCTTCTAGTGCAGGATTAGGCTTGTCACTGAAAATACGGGGGTGTTTTTGTTTCATCATCTTGTTTTGTTTTGTTTTGTTTTAAGAGAGAGATTTTCTTTAAACCCCAAGAATTTCTCTGCAATCATTTTCATAGAAATCAATTTTCATGGGCAGAAAAAGAATGTGTTATTCCAGTGAAGCTTCACTATTGTTGAGTACTTTGGTGATTTTACCTCATAATATGACTGTTTATTAAGGGCTAATTTTCTGTCCTTCCTTCCTTCCTCCTTCCTTCCTTCACTCTCTCCCTTTCTTCCTTCCCTCTTTTTCTTCATTCCTTTCCCTCTTACTTCCTTTTCTCCTCTCTTCCTTTCCTTCTTACTTCCTTCCTACAGTCCTTTCCTCCTTCTTTCTTTCTTCCTCTCTTTAACTTTAACTCGACTGAAATCTTGTTGTTTGGATGAATGACGACTTATATGCAAAGGTTTGCCTCTAATGAAATAACCTCACTAATTCCTTGAAACCCCACTTCTTACACCGGACACTGAAATGGAGATCCTGTGTTCTCCACTCCCCATAGGCGCCCCCTCTTCTTCTAAGAGCACTTCAGTTTCCTTCCAAGGAACAACACTCTGTCCCCACTGCATGGGGCCTTGGCTCCGCTATCAATCAGCCATCCTCCCCTGGCTCAGGGTGGGAGGTCAGGCTGACTCTCCCAAGAATCTGTCCAATGACAGAAGGATGGAAAATAGGTCCAGTGATTCCATTCCAAAGACATGCCCTAAAAAAAAAAAAAAGAAAGAAAGAAAAAGTTCCTACTTCTAGAATCTACATCCAGGACATTCCCAGATTCCTATCCTTTTCAAAGCTTAATTATTTTTTACTTTAACTTATGAGCTACTTCATTACCTATAGTAAATACTTTTCTTTCTTTCTTTCTTTCTTTTTTTTTTTTTTTTTTTTTTTTTTTGCTTAAATTGACGAGAGAAAGTTTATTTTATTTGGCACCAAAAATCTCTGACTGATAGAGATGGAGGAGTATGGGCACTGAGAGTGTTTTCTCCTTCGAAACATAGCTCAGGGTGCTATGTCAGTGGAACAACCCATTATATTTATTAAGTAAAAGGCCTTTAAACAGCAGAGTATTTGGCTAACTTTTCCAAGTGATCTTAAAAAAAAAACAAAACCCTCAAACAAGAAAAAAAAAACTCTTAGTTTTTTTTAATCTCAGTCATTTTTCAATTACATGCATGACCCAAATGTTCTATAAGTAGAAGAAATTAAAATTTGAGAGAAATTTGCTAGAGGATATGCTAGAGGGTCCCCTCTGTCTTGCTGAGAACCTAATATGTTATAATTTCATGATCTATTACAAAGATGCTGAAAACAGAAGTAAGGAAAATATTCTCAACTTCCAAACATGTTTGACTACTAATAACAGCAAATAATATGTGTAAATATGTTAACATAGAGGTCTTTATAAAGTTAAATCTAGCCCCATGCAAAGTCTCCAATTTTATACGCTTTGAGGTTTTTAAATGACAGTTACTTTACCTTCAGTGGTTCCTTCTTGTAACCACCCAAAACAAATATTGCTAGAACCAAGTACAGATTTGCTATGAAATTCTGAGAAAGTATTGGGGCCACCATTCTATCCTGCCATACACATTTACCTACCTACAGCCAACACAACATTACTTTTTCTGTGTTCCAGTTCATTTAACAACTTGTCTTGAAAAGAAGATGCTGGACTAATCCAAGTATAAATAGTTATTTGAGCCAATGTGGGTTCACATTTTCTGGAGAGGGAAGGAATGTCATAAAGTATTACCTGGAGACACTAAATGGCAAAGCGTAATCTATTAAGTAGCAATTTAAGAAGGGAGTGTTAATTTCCTGTGTGTCTTTTAATATTGACTACATTAGTTCTCTATTGCCGCTGTAACAAATTATCACAAAATGGCTTTAAACAACAACAACTATCTTATAGCTCTGGGGGTCAAAAGTCCGAAATAGGTCTCATTGGGCTAAAATAGTATATTGTTATAATTGTTCTATTTTATTATTAGTTATTTTTGTTAAACTCTTTTATACTGTGCCTAACTTATAAATTAAATGTTATCATAGATATGTATATATGGGACAAAACATAGTATATGTAGGGTTCAGTTTCTTTTTGGTGGCCCCAGGGGAGAATCCATTTTCTTGCCTACTCTACCTTCTGGAGGCTTGACTTGAGGTCCCTCTGTCTTCAAAGCCAGTAATGGCTGGTCAAGTCTGTCTCACGTGGTATCACTCTTACATTGGTTTCTCTGCCTCCCTCTTCTATATTCAAGGACTACTGTGCTTGGGGTCCCAGTGGGACCCACCTAGATAATCCAGGATAATCTTCCTATTTGAAGCCAGCAGATTAACACTTTAAATGCATTTGACATCCTAATTCCCCTTTACCATATAAGGTATTTGGATGTGAATACCATTTTTCCATTTGGTGCATAAACATGACTCCAAAAATGTCTATAAAAATATAAGGCATGAGATTAATTAGTATCAGCTAGAAAGCCAGTACGCTGGCTAGCAAAGAACTGAACATGTTCACCTGTGGCTTTGCACATTAGTGACATAATTGGCCTACTCACAGGAACTCATACTACATCAGCTTTAAAAGTTGGAAATCAATCAAATAAAGTAATTCATATTCTTCATTCTCTGCTCAATCACTTATGTAAATAAGTGGTGTCATGGAAGAAATAAACTTCGGTTTCTCAAACGCCTCATATACTTTCCAAAGTCTCTGACATTTGAGAAACCAAAGCCAATGACTCCTGAAGACTTTTCTTACTGAGATTCCCTCCAGCAATTGCCCTCCGCCTTCCTTAGAGAAAGTTTTTCCAGCCTTCACTTCTAGGCCACCACATTGCCTTGACCCACCTTATAATTATAACTGTTGACACTTTCAATCAGTCCTTTATCTTCCTTTAACCTCCCAACTGTTGATGTTTGCCAGGTTTCCTCCTCACTTCTCCCCATTGCGCCATCCCTTCCTAATGCCACCTTCAGGATGTCAATAGTCCCTACAAACTAATCCCCAAGTGCAATGCAATGCAGATATAATCTCCTGCCCTGAATTCTTGTGGCTAATCTCCAGACTGCGAGACATCTCTTCCTGGGTATCCCATGAGCACCTCAAGCTCCACATGTATTCTAAGACTGAACTCCGTGTCTTCAGCTTCAAGCACTTGCTTCATCCTTTATTCTCTAACTAATCTCTTCACCAAACATCTATGAGGAGGTACTGTACTGTTCTGGAGATAGACATTAAATAGAGAACCACCACCTTTAATGAGCTTAGGTAAACAAGCAATGACAACACAAAGATATAGAAGCAACAACAACACAGAGGTTTGAATTTAAAGGCCCCGTCTACTCAATTCTACAGGAAAAAACCTCAGAGGCATCTTTGATACAGTAGTCCCCCTTTATCCACGGTTTTGTTTTACATGGTTTCAGTTACGTGCATTCAACCATGGTCCAAAAATATTAAATAGAAAATTCCAGAAATAAACAATTCATGAGTTTTAAATTATGCGTCATTCTGAGCAGTGGGATGAGATCTTCCAATGTCTGCTTGTCCTGCTCAAGGCATAAATAAATCATCCCTTTGTCCAGCGTCTCCCGGCTGTACACGCCTCCCACCCATCCGATAGACGCTTAGTAGCCATCTTGCCTATCACCTCAGTTATCAGAGAGAGAGAGAGGTCACATTCACATAACTTTTTCTATAGTATATTGTTATAATTGTTCTATTTTATTATTTGTTATTATTGTTAATGTCTTTTATACTGTGCCTAATTTATAAATTAAATGTTATCGTAGGTATGTATACTTGTATATGGCCAAAACATAGTATATATAGGGTTCAGTTTCAGGCATCCACTGGGGAGTCTTAGGGCATTCCCCTCTGGGTAAGGGGGACTACTGTATTTTCCTCTCTTTCAGCTCCTGCTATATCTAACCAGTAAATAAGCCCCATCTCTTCCACCTCTGAAATGCCCTTTGGACTCATTCTCCTCTCTCTAGTCCTCTGCCTACTTCAGGCTCTCAACACCTGTTTTCTAGACAATATAATCTTCTAATGGTCTTTCTTGCTTTAGTTATTCCTATTCCCTCAAACCCCTATGGGCCACAAAGAAGAGTAGGAGCAATATCGCTATCAGAGTATCTCTAAAAAACAGTTACTTAAAGTCCTCCACGATCTGGCTTCAATCTCTCTTTCCATCTAGGTCTGTTGCCCTACCCCTCACAGAACTTGTATAGAATATACTTGATTATACTTCTGTTTCCCTAGTGGACAGTAAGCTGCTGGAAGGCAAAGAGTCAAGTTTCATTCAGCTTTGTATCCTGAACCTGACACACAGACACACAGGATGTGCTCCCATAAAAGTCCATTTAAAACAGAATTTGGCTAACAGTGTATTCCATCTGGTAGACAGCATCCCTGGAAGAACCCCAGGAGAGCTCTCTCCGTGTTCAGTTACTCAAGGAATGACTGTTCATGAACTAAGCTAGACTGAGATAGCCGCTGAAGGGCTTTGTGATTGGCCTGCTCGGTATTCCTAGGGACCTCTGTGGTGTATCCCATAGTTCAGACTCACAGGAGTGTCCATCCTGCAGCCTGCAAGCTGCATGCAGCTCAGGATGGCTATGAATGTAGCTCAACACAAAATCATAAATTTACTTGAAGCATTATGAGATTTTTGTGTGCGTGTGTGTGTGATTATGTGTCACAGTGTATTTAATATGTGGGCTAAGACAACTCTTTCTCCTCCAGTGTGACCCAGAGACGCCAAAAAGTTGGATACCCCTAGTTGAGAGGGTGAGTTAGCTAGGATTTCTATTATCACCTCTCTAGTTGCCACAGCTGAAAGCAGTCTTCCACCAACATCAGTAAGATAAGCAGAACTTGTCTACCCAACTGATCCCATTGTGTTGCATGAGATACTGGAAATACAGTCCTCAACTCCAAGAGTTTTAACACTACTTAAGCACACAGAGTCAAATTCCATTCTTTTCCAAACAAGTGTGCCTCACTCAAAGGAATCAGGGTGTGGTTCTTGCATTTGACTTATTTTACAACTTTAAATTCCAAACATAAGCCATTAACACTCCTAAAACAACTTTATCACATTTAGACTTCTTTGCTCAGCTGACGTCTACTTCAGTACCAACATTTCTGTTTCTACAGAATTACCATGTTTATCTAGTAAAATCACTTTGAGTACTTGCACATATTATGCACTTACTTTGGAGTTTAGCACACTTTTTCTGTAAAGGGCCAGATAATACATATAAACAAGAGAGCATGGCTGAGTTCCAATAAGACATTTTTTAAGAAAGCAAGCAGTGAGCCAGATCAGGCTTATAGGTGGGAGTCTGCCAACTCCTGACATATTATAAAAATGAATGGTGCCAACTCCTGACATATTATAAAAATGAATGGAAATAAAAAAATAAAAGTGCAGATCCCAATAACACCAAGAGTAGATTTCAAAAACTAAGTTCCATTAATGCAAAGCTAGAAATGCTTAAAATGACATATCAGCAGCCTCTGTCAGACCCTTAGTAAATTTTACGCTACGTGCTCAGTTGCTTTTAAAGGAGCAAAATTCAGGACCAGGTGCAAAGTGGTAGGGAGATCCTGTAGACACTCTAAGAAAGAAAGCATGACTAGGATACACACACTCATTACAGCTCATTATCAATGGAACTGATTTTAAAACATGTAAATTTGGTGTTACTCATTAAATGTACACAACCTGAAAAGAAAGTTCTGAAAAGAAGCAATTTAAGAATAATCTGTTCAACCAATTGCCACAAAATTACTATACTCAGTCACTGGTGAGGTTGTAACCCTCATCAAAGTCCTGGCACATTTCTACAATGCCAGTCGTTGGTGATATTGAGTAGAAATCAACATACAAGCGTGCCTATGCACGCAGCTGGACCAGTAAAACACTATTAGGGTAAGTGGAAAAAAAAAAAAAGATAATCAAATACAAGATGACTAAGAGTCTCAGATCCTTATGAAATATCTTAAAAGTATTCCATTACCTTGACCCTGGACAATGGTACAAAAGTAAGCAATTGCCAAAAAAGCCGGAAACAGCCAGTACTGCATCCTGCACTGAAAAATCTTCATTTTATTTCCTGCTTTTCACATGGGATGCCACCAGTCCTGGAAACAGAGAGCATAGGGATATTTTAAGAAGACTGTATTCGCTGGGGGGAAGGCAGAGACAAATGTATTTAAAAAGTAAATAAATTAATTAAAAAAAAAAAAGAAGACTGCAAACAAGGTAGGCATATGTAGTCATCTAGACAGGCAAACATTAGTGTTGTCAGGAAATAATTCATTCACTAGGGCATCATATATTTATTTCACTCCAAATTCTTAACTGATAAAAAGAAAGGAGCTTGAAATGATGCTGTGAATGGAGAAATGACCAGAAATATTTGGGAGAGAAGTTCAGAAGTTACTTTGTGACTCTTTCGGAAGGCATTAATTGCATGGTGAATTTCCCAGATGGGTAAATTCCAAAAGTTTACTTGCAATGACCATTATAATCAGACAATCACAATTTCCTTGCAAGTAATTTTGGATGAACCATGGGAAAAATTCTACTCAGCTCCTCCAGTATTCTTTCATACAGTTAAAAGTCTTACTGCTGCATTACATTGCCTACAAAGCAAAGAGAATTTAAAAAACCACTTTGTGCTGATAGTAAATCAGTACTCAGCTTTCATGTCACTGGACTGAATGATCCCTAATCTTTCCTTGCAACCCTTTTTTTCTCATATCTGTGAATCTAAAACTCTTCCAAGTTTTTCTTTTTCATTAGAATATCAATGAAAGAAGAGCTACAAGAAAAAGAGAAATCAAAAGGAAGCAGGAGGGGAGGAAAGAGAAGGGTGAAATTAGGTGAATGTATGGTATTAACTTAAAAGGCCAATCTACAAACCGTTGACTGCAATTCTATAACAAACCATTACAGAGTCCTTTCCTTGGAGACTCAAACATCATGAAGGTTTTCTTCTACCCAGGGTATATTTTTCATTCATATATTCTTTCATTCGAGTATTTCCCACTATTGTTCCACAAAGGTTCCAAGACAACTTAATAATAAATGAACATAATGTATAAGGTAGAGTTGCCAGACTTAACAAATAAAACTGCAGGACTCCCAGTTAAATTTTAATTTCAGATAAACAGCAAAATTTTTGTAGTATGTCCTATGCAATATTTGAGATACTAAATACTAAAAAAATTTTATCGTTGTTTATGTGAAATTAAATTTAAGTAGATGTCCTAGAAATCCTAGTATAAGGGGAAATTTGGTGGGAAAATAGTAGAACGGTAAGTAAAATGAGCAGAGAAAATAAATCTGATTCTGTTAGTGGAGGTGACCATGAATTTGGCACAAAATTATGAACTAGCAGCCCAAGAAAGAAGGAAGCATGCTAAGTTTTAAGGCTTACTGTATTATTAAATTTTAAAACTTTTCTGGAGATCCATAGCTTTTCCTGATACTACGAGCTAAGTAGAGTTTTACCCATCATTCATTCAAAAAAAGGTCACTACTTTATTCACCATAACATTTATTGAGCCCTTACTATGTGTGAAGACTATGTATGTACTTTACACATACATATACTCCTTTAATCCTTACAGCAATCCTTTGAAGTAGGTATGATTTTAATAGCAATTTGCGAGGAGGAAAAGGAGACAAGAAGTTCTCCAAGTCATGTGTCCTGTGAGTTCAAGATCCAAGATTTTTCCCCTCACAGACATAGTAATCAGGCCTGGTAGAAGCATCTTAGGAAAACATTTTTATAGTATCACCCTTCCTACCACTCTCTTTTTATTGTAAATTGTCTTCTCTTGCTCTGGTTTCTGATGAGGAAAAAAAAACTCATCAAAAATAATAAGTTTTACTTGTGCAAAATTAAAAAATACAAGAAAGCATAACAGAATGTGTACTTTTTTATTTTTATTTTTCCCTTACTGAAGTGCAAAAATTTTCTGATAACAGTAAATGCCCTGTTACTATATATGACAGTGTAACTATATTAGCCACTTCTCTTTGAAAATTTAATTGATTTCCAAATTTCCCCAATACACCTAACCCTGCAATGAACATCTTGTTCACATCTCCTTGAATATATGACTATTGAATTCTTTTGACTAAATCCCCAATTGTAGACCTGCTAGGTAAAACAAGACCTGTTTAATGTTTAAAAGGTTTTTGAAATATTTAATAATGCCCCACAGAAAATTACAATGATTTTCAGTTACACCAGTATATAAGTACCAAATCACATCACCTCTATCATCACAGGGGTTGATTGTTTTCAACACCTGCAAATTTGATAGGTAAAATGTGATTATCACAATATCATCTTAATTTGACCTTTTCATAACAAATAAAATGTAATATTCTGTTTGTTGGCTATTTACACTTTTTATATAATACCTGTTCATATTGTTTACCCATTTTCTCACTGACTTACAAGAATTCTTTATATACTGTTAATTTTAACTAATATTTTATAGCATTTTTCCAGGGACTTTTGTTTTGTTTTTCGCTTTTCAACTTTATTGGGTCAAGAACTTTGTTAGCCCTAGATGGTGTGGCTTGCCTGCGAACCAAAAGATCACCAGTTCAGCTGGAGAATGAGTGCCGCCTTCAGGAAGCAGCTCCAAGTGCTAAAGCTCTGGTCACCTGCTTTAATGAGCTTCCTAATTTTAGAGTCCAGCCTCAGCCAATCTTGGGGGCACCGGAGACCTGGCCTTGCTAGTGAGAGTCACAGGGGGGCACGCAGCTCAGTCACCATCACTGGGTGAGTAAGCGTCAAGGCCCCTGTAGAGCTGAGTCAAGGCTAAGCTCTGATTTCTTTCTTTTCTCCATAAAACTGTAGTCACCCCTCTTCCCTGCCTTCCTTCTAATCCTCCAAGACCATTCATTGCTCTTGAGAAAAGATCCTTGGTGACACCTGCTCATCATGACCCAGCCCAGGGCCACGTCGCTGCCCCTCTTTCCATCTGGGGAATATTGGAAATATAGGAGATGGCTTCCTGTTGGCGACCCTTTGTTTCACAAAGGCTTGGAGGCTTCTCTTCTGGTACCATAGCTGGAAAATGATGATCAGTTCCTGAAATCCCAAACAGGATCTTCTCCTCATTTGGAGTGATGGGGTCTGGGGCTGGGGCTGGGGTCAGGAGCACATCCAGTGGTCATGGCTCAAGCGGCCGCTCGCGGGACCCTTCCAATAATGAGCTTCTACGCGATCCTGTGACAGGGCAGCTCAGCGAGAGGGCATTGACGAGAGCCATTTCAGCCGCATTCCATCAGGTTTCCGCTCTACTTAAGCAGCTCTGAAAGTTGCCCAAAACAGTGTCCCCTTGGAGGGGCATATAACTCACAAGGGGCAATCCACAAAATGGCATTGACTTGTAGACCACCACCCCATCGTTTGGAAAAGCCATCCGTCCCTGCTGTTTGCTTTCTCAGATTTTCTGTAACATTGACACAATATTCAAGGCCGTGGAGATGAGAGCCAGGTCTCTGTGAGGCAAGACTTGGGCAATGATAAGTCTCAGGGATTCCAAGGTCCATCCATCTTGGGTCTGTTTGTGCAAGTCTTGGACTGAATTTGTGCAGCACATTGATGTGCTAGGTTACGGCAGAATCCCTTCAACATCTGCCAGACATTTCCCAGAGTCTGGAGATTCCTCATGGGACCCTCTTTCCAGGCCCATTTATCTTTGTTGTCACTGTTTTTATATAATGTTGCCTGGTTATAGATAATTTTTAAATCCGTGTTAGTCACCAAAACTGACTAAAAGTTTTCTTTAAAGGTTTTGGTGTCAGGATTATTCTAGCTTCTTAAAGTTAGAAATCTTTCCATATTTTCATTGTTTTGTAATTGTTTAAGTAGTGTGAAGATGACCTATGAAGTCCTATAAGTAATTTTTTGCAACTTTATTGAGATACAGTTGATATATGATAAACTGCACATAAAGTATACCACTTGTTAAGTTCTGACATATGTATACACTTATGACGTACTTCCCTTTTTTGAAGCTAATCCCACACAACTTTTTAATTTTTTTTCTTGTTATAGATATACTTAGCCTTTTCTAGTTGTTCTACCCTGGATATTTTCCCATAAAATTATATAGTTTTTTGTTTTAATTTTCAAATTTATTAGCAGAGTTGTGTGATTTCTCAAGTTAAAACATATTTCTTTCTGGTTGTATCTCCATTATCACTGTTAAATTTATGTGTCTCTGACTTCTCTTTTCTCTCTGAACTAGATAAACTATGTATCTGTCCAAATTACATTTTCTGAGAATGTTTTTTAACTTCTCAATATTATTGTTATCTGATTTATTTTTGATTTATCACTAGTAATTCTTTCTTTTCCTTTTCTGCTTTACTTGTTGTTGTTGTTTGTGATTATTTTGTTAAATCCTCAATTAATGTAATATTATCTTTTATTTGAGACCATTAATTTTTTTTCTGAATATACTTTGGCAATATCATATAAGCATTAATTTTCTTTTAGGCCAAGAGTTATTGCAGTGAGTATAGCAAAGCATAATTCTATGAAGCTTCAAAGAAATATGACTCAGTCCCTTAAGCCTCTGATATTCTGGTTTTATTCAATAGAAATATCGTATATCCAGAGAAACAAATATTTATATTTCTTTCAAGCAGTCACTCTTTTGTGTTTCCAATTAAAGGGAAATGCAAATACTTTGATAATCATATAAGTAATTAAGTTAAGATCTTATAATAAAATTTAAAAATATACTCCTTAAAATTCCCAATGGAATCAGAAACACATTAAATTATATATAATTTGCACATGTATATATGGAATTTTAGCCTGGATTAATTTATTACAGATTAGTAAACCAACCTTTTGTCAGGGTACAGAGGAAATGAGACAAATGATGAGTAAATTTTGATAAAATATAGGAGAAAAGGCCCCAGGCCATCTGTTGAACACTAACCCTACAGAGGCAAGTAGAATAAGATTAGGCAGACTATCCAAAGGAGTGTGAGTAATCCTTATGTAGACAGCAGGCATGAATACAGGGGATTTGAAAAGATATGGAAGCAGGCTGCAGCCCTGTCGCAACCAAAACGTCAACAGTGCCTTTTGACCCAG